GACGGGGGGAGGGGGGGACGGGGGGAGAGGGACGGGGGGGGGGGGGGGAGGGGAAGGGGGAGTCCACACACTTACACACCCCTTCCCTTGCACATACAGCAACCAGGCGGCAGACGCGGCAGACGCGGCGGACGCGAGCTCGGCGGTGGCGGGCCCGTCGACGACGATGACGCTGGAGGAGCGGATGGCGACGATTGCGTCTGTGGGTGAGGAGATCAACTCTGCGGAGCGGCTGGAGGAGCTGCTGGGCCGCAAGGCCAAGCCGCGGTGCTACGACGGGTTCGAGCCGTCGGGGCGGATGCACATTGCGCAGGGCATCCTCAAGGCCATCAACGTCAACAAGCTGACGTCGTCGGGCTGCGAGTTTGTTTTCTGGGTCGCCGACTGGTTTGCGCTGCTCAACAACAAGATGGGCGGCGACCTGAAGCGCATCCGTGTGGTGGGGAAGTACATGATCGAGGTGTGGAAGGCATGCGGGATGGACATGACCAACGTCAAGTTCCTCTGGTGCGCCGACTCGATTAACGAGCGGCCCGACGAGTACTGGCGCATGGTCATGGACATTGCCCGCTCGTTCACCATTTCGCGCATCAAGCGCTGCGGCCAGATCATGGGCCGCTCCGAGGGTGACGACCAGCCGGCCTCGCAGATCTTCTACCCGGCCATGCAGGCTGCCGACATCTTCTTCCTCGGCGCCGACATTTGCCAGCTCGGCATGGACCAGCGCAAGGTCAACATGCTCGCCATCGACTACGCCAACAAGATCGGCGTCCCGCCGCCGGTCGTCGTCTCGCACCACATGATCATGGGCCTCACCGGCGAGAAGATGTCCAAGTCGGACCCCAACTCGGCTATCTTCATGGAGGACGACACCGCCGCTATCCGCAAGAAGATCAAGGCTGCCTTTTGCGAGATCGGCAACATCGAGAAGAACCCCGTTCTCGAGTACTGCAAGTACATCATCTACCCCGCCGGCGTGGTCCTCACCATCGATGGCGAGGAGTTTGCCACCTACGACGCCGTCGAGGCCGCCTTTCTCGACGGCTCGCTCCACCCGGGCGCTCTCAAGCCCGCTGTCGCCGACGCCATCGACAGCCTTGTCGAGCCCGTCCGCCAGCACTTCCGCAAGGATCCGGTCGCCCGCGAGCTCCTCAAGAAGGTTCAGTCGTTCAAGGTGACCAAGTAAGGCCCTCCGCCCTCTGTGAGCCTCCAGTAAACTTGCCTGTCCCAGCCGCTTGTCCCCACACCGCTAGTCCCCTACAGCATGGGAAATTCCCTGCCGCAACCTCTGCTGACCTGTCAGGGGCCACGTGCCGTGCAGGACGCTGATCTCGACCGACCTATCACGGGCGGCGCTCCGACTCCCCGGAGTCGTCGCTGACAACGTCAAGTTCATCGTGTTCTTGGGGTATCGGTCCGGACACGGTCTGAAGACGGTCCTCAAGGAGCGGTCCGGGAACGCCCCAATGGCTTTTGTACGGTCTCAGGAACGGTCTGGGTACAGTCTCAATAACGATCTGGGTACGTTCTCGGAGCGGTCTCGGAGGTCCTGCAGTGGTGCTAGGGCGTCGCTGTGGGGGAGATACACCGTACAGGCCAACAAAGTGGTGAAAATCGAGTATTACGGGGCCATGCGGCACTGTTCCACGGTCATACCACGGCGCACCAAGCGATGGCAATCAGCACAGCTTACCATCGGGATCGTAAAGGAAGAACTCGATCTGCGCACAGTCCAAGCCGTGGTTGGACATCGACGTCAGACACGGTGACATCGTGCGTTGATGTCGCAAATGCTAAAAACTGTCAAATATTACCCCCAAACGAGCAAAATTATTCATTTTACATAATTCATGTCAGATATACACTTTAATATTGCAATTATGGTTTCTATTGCATATTTGTATGTATGCATATTTATATAAATATATAAATATATAATTTGGATTAAGACGTAAAGTCGATGCCTGGGGGAAAATGCATCATTGTGTGACTTGTCCACACAATGCCCACATCTTATGCATGTCAGTGCTACCCATGCGCGTGTGGTAGCCTTTGTGGGCCCGTCTTTGGAATGCTTGTTGTAGCCACTCCTCATACACCAAGTCTGGTCTCAATGTGCTGCGTACTGCGTGCTCCAGATGCCGAAAACCCGGTTTAATGGTGACCATTTGTCGCGCGGAGCCGACGCCGCACAACACCCAAGCTCTCGCGAGCCCCTCGGTGGTGGACACCACTACATCACATCTTGACACGGGTAGTTTATGGCGATCAGGCCTCGTTGATCGACGGAGCAGCTTTGACACTCTCCCCAGGCGGTATCACGGCCGAGAGAAGCGGCGGCGACTCCTTGGCCCTAGCGGCTGCGCGCTGTTTGAGCAGATGCCCGCCGTAAATGTAAAGGGCGATGCCCGGAACAGTCATGGCACAGGCGACAGCCTTTTGCCATGGAAAGCTCTCGTGGAAGAGCTTGACGACAAGGATGACGACGATCATGCGGCGGGCGACGTCTGCGACGGCGGCGAAGAGGGCGGACGACTTGGAGATGACGGCAAACTTGAAGAACATGCCAGTCTGCTTGGTGAGGGCGACGGCAACCATGCAGAGGATGATATACAAGTGACGGTTATCCTTGTGGCTGGCATCCGTCCACACGGCGCTGTACTCGGTCCACTCGCGCGAGATGAGCCAGCAGACGATGATGACCAGCCACGCCGAGATGCCGTTGAAGAAGGCAGCCTCAGCGACGGTCCGCATCGACGTCGACTTCTTAACGTCCTTGAGCAGAAACGAGGCAAGCACGGCCTGCGAAGCGTTGGAAAACGCAGATATAATGGCGAAGATAAAGCCGAAGAGGTGCTTCGAGCTCGTTATGCCATTGGACTCCTTGTGGTCCGACTTGTGCGAAGCAAGAACGGCTGTCGACGTAAGAAGCAGCACAACCGACGCCGCATGGTACCGCGTTAGCTCTTTTTTGAGGAAGATTCGCGACTCAACGACGTTGAACACAATGTTCGTCGACTTGAGCAGCATGTAAGTCGAGCCGGGCAGCCAGTTGATGGCAAAGGCGAGCGTAATCATGTGGACCGAGTCGAGGACGCCCATGGCGCAGAGCTTGGCCGTCAGCTTGAGCGTTAGCGGGACCCGTCCATCATCGACCTCGTGCGTCAGCTTGTGCCCGAGAATGACTCCGAGATGGACCGGCCAGCCCGAGGTCATCAGCACCGCCGTCAGCCACGGGAAGACGTAGCCCCAGTGGTCAAGCAGCTTGGTCACCGTTGGCGGTGTCGCATACATGGCGATGAAGCACATCGTGAGCACCACAATCACGGCCTTGCCACCATCCGAGCCCATTTGCCTTGGCCTCTGTCCTCTGACAAGATGATGATGCGGTGCCCATTGTCCATGATGATATGTTGTTGTCGCAGGGGGGAGAGGGGTCATGCCGAGCGAGTCATCCCCCACCGCCGCACCCCATCCATACACCGCCATCCCCATCCGCATTCGCATCCGCATCCCCATCAATACGCCCCCTTTGCAATGAGTCCAGCACCACAACCAGGCCCCCTGCCCCTCCCCCTCCCCTCCCCCCTCCCCCCCCCTAGGCGGTGGCGTGCCGGTCTCCTGTCCGTCCCCGACCACGACAGGTGCTGCTTCCCTGCTCCGGTCCCATCCCCCCCCTCTCTCCCCCCTCATCCCCTTCCCCCCATGCCCCTCCCCTCTCTCCTCCACCCTCCACATACCCTATGGCAACAAAGTGGAGTCCTCCTCCCTCCCGTCACCATCCCCGTCTCCCCCCCCCCCCCGTCTCCCACTGCTGCCTTGCAAAGAGCCACTGCTCCCGTGCACATCTTTGCAATCTTCACTTTTCATCACGCCGCTTTTTTCCCCCTCACCCAACCACCCCACCCATCCATACCCATCCATACCCATCCATACCCATCCATATCCATCCATATCCATGCCTGGCACATCCCCTCCGTCCATCGGCGCCCCCAAGCAGCGGCGACCGACAATCATCGCAGCGAACAACCCGGCCGGACAGAGGGCAATCACAGTTTGGTGGAGAGAATGGCCTTGTACGTGTCCTTGGGTAGGTTGACCTTGCCCATGGCGCGCATCCGGGCCTTGCCGCGCTTCTGCTTCTTGAGCAGCTTGTCCTTGCGCGTCCGATCGCCGCCGTACAGGTGACCGATGGTGTCCTTGCGGAAGGCCTTGATGGTCTCGCGAGCGACGATACGGCCGTTGAACGAAGCCTGGATCTTGATCTCAAACAGCGTCCGCGACATGGCCTCCTTGAGCTTGGAGACGTACTTGACGCCCATGGCGCGCGCCTCGTCGCGATGGGCCACAAACGAAAGTGCCTCAACCGGCTCGCCGTTGAGCATGACCGTCACCAGCCCGAGCGGTGCCTTGGCGTAGCCTGCGGCCTGGTACTGGAACGACGCGTAGCCGCCGGTCCGCGACTTGAGCTCGTCCACAAAGTCCGTGACGACCGAAGCGAGCGGGAGGGCGACAGCGACCTCGAGCGCGTCGCCACCGACGGTAGCGGTCTCGGTCACCTCACCGCGCCGGCGGAGGACAAGGTCCATCACGCCCGAGAGCCGGTCGGCCGGGACAAGAATGGTTCCCGTCACCCGCGGCTCGTACGTGCCCACGATCTTGCCCTCGGATGCCGGCCACGCTGCACCAGTCTCGACAAGCACCTCCTCGCCGCCAGCAAGAACCACCCGGTACGGCACCGACGGCGCCGTGAGGATAACGTCGGCTCCGTGCTCGGACTCGAGCCGCTGCCGAAAGACGTCGGCGTGGAGGAGGCCGAGGAAGCCGAGCCGAAAGCCCGAGCCGAGTGCGGCTGTGGCTGTTTTGGCCACAGAGACCGCCGGATCGTTGAGCGCGAGCCGTGCCAGCGCCGACGCCAGGTCCTCGTACTCATCCGGCTCGCCCGGATACAGGCCAGCAAAGACCATCGGTTCGCCACCGATGCCAAGCGCAAGCCGCTGAGCAGTTGTGACTCGCTCAGCGCCTCGGTAAGCGCCTCGACGTGCTCCGGCGGCGCAAGCAGCGTGCCAGCAACCTGAACACCGGCGTCCTTGACGCCAGTGGCGGCAAAGCCGGCCCGCCCGGCCCCGAGCACTGGACATGGCTGCTCGTGCGGATGGAGGGTGCCAACCTCGCCGAGTGTAAGCTTGAACGGCTTGCGCCCAGCAGCAGAGCCGAGCGCGAGCGGCGCAAGCGCTGTCCCGGCCGAGAGCTCGCCGGCCATGACCGCCACCGACGCCACAATGCCACGGAATGTGTCGTAACGCGAGTCAAAGGCGACCGCGAGCGGAAGATCAGCCAGGTGCGGCGGGAGCGGGAGCGGAGATGGCGGCGGGATAGCACGGACCAGAACGTCGAGCAGCTCCGGCACGCCCTCGCCGGTCTTGGCCGACACCAGACAAATGTCTGGCGACTCGGGGTCGATGCCGAGCGTGGCTTCGAGCGCCTCGAGAGTGCCGTCGATGTCGGCCGCCGGCAAGTCGATCTTGTTGAGGACTGGAACAATGGCAAGGCGGGCAGCAGCTGCGAGCCGGGCCACAGCAAGCGTCTGAGCCTGCACGCCCTGCGCCGCGTCGACAAGCAGCAGGACGCCGTCCACGGCCGCCAGCGAGCGCGCAACTTCAAGGCCAAAGTCGGCGTGGCCGGGCGTGTCGATGAGATTCAGCACCTTGCCACCATACCGCAACGTCGCCGAGTTGGCTTTGACCGTGATCCCGCGCTCCTGCTCCACCTCGAGCGTGTCCAGCGCTTGCTCCCGCCCGCCGCGCCGCCGACCCTCTTCGCCGCCACACGCGTCAATGATCCGGTCTGCCAGCGTCGACTTGCCGTGATCAATGTGCGCCAGAATGGCAAAGTTCCGCACTTCGCCCAGTGCCACCGCCCCGCCCTCGTCCACCGACGCCGCCAGCCCATCGGACGCACTGCCCGCCGAGACCTCGCCAGCCGCTCTACTCACCGCGCCCGTCGCATGCCGCATCCATGTTGCCCTCCACAGCGCCGTCCGTGTTTGCGCCACCACACGACCCACCCGGCGGAACATAGTCGTCTGTGTGGAGTATGTGGGGGGGGGGGGAGTGCGGGAGAGCGAGGTGTGCGAGGCGGGGGAGGGAGAGCGAGAGGCAAAGGTGACGGAGAGACGGATCCCAGTGATCCCACAGCCGAGAGCCATGGCACAGACAAGACGGACCACGTGGGCACATGGTATGGTCACACTGGTGGTGGTAGTAGTGGTGGTGAGATGGTTGGGGAAGACGCCTCATGCGGGTCGATGAGGATGAGTTGATCGATACGATAGGAGGACAATGTCCACATCTGTCCCTCCCTCCAAGCCCCCCCCCTCCCCCACCCCCCCTGTATGACACCAATGGGGTGAGTGTGGCACCCTCTCCCGAAAAGAAACCCAGCCACCCCCTTCCCCCCCCCTCCCCTTCCGCCCAGTAGTCCATCACCACCACAGGCACCTCCCCCCCACCCACCCACTCGCTCCCCCCCTACCACCACACTCTCACCCCCACCCATGGGCAACACCACCTCAACCCTCCCCCCGGGAGCCGACGAGGTGGAGACCATGCACCAAGTACGCCCCCCTCCCTCCCTCCCTCCCCCTCCCCCCTCCCTTCCTC